TAAGCTGGCCCAAAGGGTGCTAATTAACCCTAGGAAAATTGATTATCATACAGGAGTGTTTGCAGCGAAGATCACCCCTGCAAAGGATGGGAAACTAGTGACTGTTGAGCTTATTGATGCCAAGACTAAGGAAACCAAAGACACATTAGAGATAGATGCAACCTTAATTGCAACAGGAAGGGATCTATTTACTAATGGTATTGGGTTGAAGAATCTTAATGTAGTAACACAAAGGGTTTCATTCCTGTTGATGAGAGAATGCGAGTAAATGATGCAAGTGGCAATCTGGTTCCTCACTTGTATTGCATCGGTGATGCAAATGGGAAAATGATGCTTGTTCATGTAACAAGTGCACAATGATCATTTCAAGGGAAGATAATGTCATAACTACATGGGAAGTCAATAAAGAAAGCAGCAAGAATCAGTTACTAAAACAACTTTTGAATCTGAAAATTTTTCAGAAGACTCAAGCAAGGCTGAAATTTTTTGCTAAAAAGTTTCGGTCTTATCATCAAACCTCAATTGCTCTTCGAAAAGGATTAAGGATGGCAGCAAGGGTCTATGGTACTGCTATCTATAGTTTTTGGTGTAAGGTGTTTGGCAACTTGAGTTTTTTGGATGAAGGTGTATTTACATCAAGAAGCACAATTAGGCTATCACTCAATTGTTGCTGCAGTGGATGAACTTAAGGTTGGAACATCATTGGGGTAACTATATTGTGCTTAAGGCACAATTTTAGGTTTTGATCCTTGGGGACAAGGATCCTTTCATGGATGGGGTATTGTCATGATCATGAGAGATAGAAATCGGAGAAGATGGGGAGAATTAGGGAAATTAAAAATAGGGTTAGGGATTTTAATTAAAGAGGGAGGTTAGGGATTTAATTAAGGGAGGGGTACTGCCAGCAGTAAGGAAGTCACCCACAGTACCAATAACACCACAGAATCTAATTATTAGATACAGCTATATTTCCAGTTGTAATTGGTTGGTACAACTAAATATAAGCAATGTTCTAGGTAGGCGAAAGGCATGAAATGTATGAATGAAACTTCTTTCTGTAATCTCTCTTATTTCTTCTTCTAAACCTATTTCTTATTCGATATTTCTTCTCTGCTAAATCCATCCATACATACATCATAATCGACAAACACTTGCTAATGGAGATAAGATTACAAGTGATATTGGGAACATAAAGACATGAGATAACAAAATGTCCTGATTTATTCGAATAGATCCATGACCGCAACACCATATAGAGAACCATCAGCTGTTCGAATATGAGATAAATGAGTCGGCATGAAAAGTGTGAAAGAGCCGAAGATCACCTGTCTATGATCACTTGCACCAAAATCCACAATTCAAGTAGGAGTGGTGGATTAGCCAAAGTAGCAGAAGGAATTCTACCAGCAGGTACTGATCGGGAATGAGTGTTTATCTGACTAAAAATTGCTGCAACTCTTCCATTTTTTTAGTAAACGAACTTCCTTGTAAATTAGTATTCACAACACAGTTTCCTTGAGTATCACGTTGTTGATGTTGTTTGAAGACTCCTATCAGTAGTCTTGCCATGTATTTCCAACAAGAATCCCGCAGATGGCCAACCTTCTTACAGTAGTCACACCAAGGTCTCCCCTTCTTTGACCGAGTAGTAATTTGAGAGTGAGCAATGCAGACCCTTCAGCGGATGCGAATCATGAAGCATAACGGTACGTCGACTTTCTCGCTTCGTACTGTAAAAATTTCCCGGATTGAGGAAGAGGTTTGAGTCCTAATACTCTTCCTCGGACTTCATCAGATCCCGATGCAACCGGATAAAAAATGGAATATCCGACGATCAACAATCTTCTTGAATAGAGTGGCATCTTCTACACACCTCCATTCATGGATTCGACAAATCAAGTTGTTGCCATAGGCGCGACATTAGAGTAAATACTGATCACGGTCATGTTGTCTTGTTGAGATTGGCAAGTTAACACTCGATCCCAAATAAGCAGCAGAATTTTCCAGATTCAAATACATCGCCTTTGCAGCACTCCAAATTTCAGCCGTTGTTTCATACAAGAAAGTTTCCCCCACAACAGAATCATGGAATTGATGAGCCATGACAAATCATGGTATTCTCACTTAGCCAGGTTGAATCAAGATCCGTCACAGCGGGAACTGGTGTGGTCTCCAAAGATATTGTTGTTTGCGCCGACCGGTTATATAAAGGCGGACAGATTGGGACCAAGCGATATAATTGACACCATTCAATCGGTGACAGGTGATAGAGGCCGAAGAACCAAAAAAGTTTGAATGGGGTGAATTAACGGAATTCCGAAGTGACCTCCGATGGAGATGTGGCGGAATTCATGATCGACGGCTTATTTAGGTAAAAAGAAAGAAAAAATTATATACGGTAGGTGTTATATCCTTTTGTGATATTGATGAAGTTTAGTAGGGTTTATCCTTTTGTGTTTTTGATGAAGGATTTGTAGTTTGTGGATAAAGACGATAACTGGTGTGGTGGGTTGGCTTCTGACTGGACTGCCTAGTTGGCAGGGGAAGCAACTAGGTGAGAAAAAAAAATCTACTAGATTTAGATGAAGGATCGGCACCTACTGATACTATGTTGAAAATAGGGCTAATGTAAAGTGAAGTAAAAGAATTAGATGATAAAATAATTAATTGCAAAGGTAAGGAAAAGTGAAAAACTTCACTGTCGTATTTCATGTAAAACAGGTTACAAGTTTAATAAATATATACAGTAGGTGAACAAACAGTTAGTTTAATTTAATTTAAACTAAACTACTTAGTAGTTATCCTTATCTATCTAACTTTCTAAGAGTTAGTGTTATATTAAAATACTAATTAATTATCCTTATTTATCTCATAACCTACAACTAGGACAACTAATATAGAAGCTGATGGGTTGGCAAAGTCTGATATTGGTTAATTTCAGTGTGATTTATAGGGGTATTTTATTATGGGTTCTTTGGGTTGTTTGTAAGGGTTTTATCTTGATGTACTAAATCTTATGTATCTTTATTATTAATGAAGTATTAAGCACTCTTTTCCTTCTTCCTCTGACCAAGGAAATCATTTTGACTTCCTCAATCATGAAGGGGTTTTTAATGAGGCCTTCAATTCTTATTAAAAATAAATAAATTCAAATGAATGTAAGACTTTCTAAATATTAATTATCTTATTTTGATTCAAATTTATATAAATCTATTTTTATAAATATAAATGAACCTGTCTAATGGTAAAAAATGTTATATTAATTTTTGATCCAACTAAATCTTTATTTAAATTTGTTTTATTCTTATTACATTAATAATTTAATTTTATCTAAAAACTATACTTACCTTTAATAATTATTTCATCTAAAATTAAATACCAAGCGTGCTTTCATATTTTTAGTTTTCAAATAGATTTTGTTTACAATTAACAAATATATTTCAATTTTTAAAGTTAAAAGGAAATATAATTATTTAAAAATGAAAATATGTTTTTTTTCAAAACATAAAAATGATTTTAAATTGGGGTGAAATTGTAGCAGTAAGTAAAAGTAGCAGTAACTGTTCGGAATCCCAGTTTAACCATGAGTTGCACTTTCTATGATGATCAGTTGGATTTGGAGTTTCGCTCAAACGAAGTTAAACCCTTTTGTCTGTACGGACAAACCAAAGCAGAGGGCATGGAAAGGGGCTCTTGGCATAATCTCAAAATGACATGTCGTTTCCAACTGGCTCGTCGCCTCTCTTCTTCAACCCTCTCCCACCTCCTTCTCTTCCTCCCCCGGAGGGTGGTCGTCACCGGTACTATACCTCATTTCTTCTAATATGAAAATTTAATTTTTTTTCTCAGGTAGCAGCTATTGTTGAACCAATTCTCAGAATAGTTGGTGGTTATTTGTTTTTGGGTTTCAGGGCTTGGCCTAGTGACTTCACTCGGCTGCGGAGTAGAAACAACATGGAAACGTTTGATCGAAGGCAAGTGTGGGATAAGGGCAGTGACCCCAGAGGATCTAAAGATGAATGCTTTTGATAAACAAACTCAAATGCTTACCTTCGATCACTTCTAAAGTTGCTGCAATTGTGCCCTGTGGGACTGACCCTGCTGAATTCAATGAGGACTTTGGTTCAACGCTAAGGTAATCCCCCCTTGTGACTTTGGTTGATGCCCCATTGATTGTATTGTGTTTTTTTATGTTACTTTGTCATGTGGAATTTTGAGCTGAGTTTTGGGGTTGAAGTGGTGAATAAATAGATAGTGATGGGGTGCTTTTGAGGTGAAGAGTTTATTTTGGGAACTCTAGATTATGAAATAAGTTCTTAAGTAAATTTTGAAGGGGACAGTTACATTACATTGGATGTTACTTTTCAAGTAAGTGGTAATTCTATTATTAGCAAGAAACTTGGGCAATTAAAGATATGAAGATAGAACAGAAGGCATTGGTTCTTTGCAACAGGTTTCCACTGTACCTTATGTGATTTCTAGTTTTTCTCACCTCAGAACCTCAAGTTGCTTTCTTATTCCCAAGTGATATGCAGTGCCTAATCTGATGCTAGATTACTTATTTATGCTAATGAAGATACACTCTTCTTCTTTTTTTCCTGCAATACTAGTTATGTGTGACGTATTTTTTAATTCTATGTAACTACAATTAATGATCTTGTTGCTCAGGATCAGCGATCAGTTGCGAGATTTATAAGCTATGCATTATGTGCTGATGAAGCTCTAAAAGAAGCACAATGGGTACCCACTGATCAGGAAAAGAAGGAAGAACGGTAATTACTTATTGATAGCTGATAATATGTGATATAGATCTTTTGTTCCCTTTCGCTATCTTATTCTTCATTAATTTGTGGATAACTAGGGAGTCTATATATGCGGTGGGACTGGAAGCATTTATGATATATTAGATGCTGCACAAATGATCTGTGAGAAGGTTGGTTTCTTGCAGTTATGCATTTTGTCATTATGATTGTCAAGTAAATTGATTCTTAAATTTTTGAAGTTAATCTTGACTCTTCAGCTTCCCTTCCTTAAGGCAGTGTGCAGTAAACATTAGGGTGGTTAGCCCATTACACTGATAACATCTTTTTTCTATCCTTTCAATTCTCTATCACTTTGTTTTACTTCTTTCATATTCTACTTAGGTGATTACTTTTTTGTTTCCATTCCAGGGCTAGAGCTTTGAATACCAAGTATAATTCTTGCCCTATAGAAGCTTCACACCCTTTTGACAGTGGCCGGGATGGGTTTGTGTTAGTGAAATTTGGCTGGTTACTGCTCCAAGCTCATTGCTTGCACAACTATTTCTTTTATGCTACTTTCTAACTTATTGTACTTTTCCAGGATAGGTGAAGGTTCTGGTGTCTTGATATTAGAGGTAAATTGAGCTATATATTTTTTCTTATGTATTTCAATCACAAACCCCTTTCCCTATTGTTGTCTGTGATATTTTCCATTTTTTCATAATGGTTACATACCCTTTCTATTAAGGAACTTGAGCATGCAAAAAGACGATGAGCAAAAATTTATGTGGAGGTCCGAGGATATGGGATGTCAGGTTGTTTTCAAAGAACTGAAAGTATTCTACAATAATGCCGGCTGTAATATTCAATAATCTTAGTTGATTACTGCCAACTTCAACTTGTCCCCCCTCCCGAGAGAGAACCTTCTCGATAATGCTGTTCACGTCTCTACCAAAAGAAATGTGCATTCAAATTTTTGAGCGACTTCTACTACTAAGTTTCTTACTCTTATGTAAAGATGGGTGTGTGTTGTTGTTGGGGGGTGGGGGGGGAAGAGAGGGAGCGAACTAGGAGAAAAGGATAAAGTTTATGCTGCTTTTCTCCAGTGCTGGACCATGCCACTGCACTGTAACTTCATGAAGTAGTTCATTTCTTCCCTGCTAATAACTTTCATATACTTTAACCAATTCCTTTTTTAAAATTGCTACAATCGCCTTCATACACAGGGTGCTGTCGGGCATCTCCTTGGTGCAGCCGGAGCTGTTGAAGCAATTTTTACCGTTTTAGCCATACACCATGTAAGTATACCAGTTTAGCTTCTCCAAATTTCTCGGGCTGTTAAAATTAAGCAGGACTACTGACTAAAATTTAGAAATTAGTTGTCTTTAATTTAATAGCTAAAAGTGCAGTTCACTAAATAGAAAAAATGCACAAAAAATCCAGTGAATATAAAACAAACAAATAGGGGAAAATCAGTTGAAAAATCAGAATTGCATGATCATTAAATTAAAACAACGAAAACAACAAATAAACAGAATTTCAATCATCACAACATAACCCTAGCATAGTTGTAAAAGCGCGCCTGAGGCGCAAAAGCACAGAGGCTCACTGGACAGGACTTTTTCAACACTAAAGAGAGGAACGTAGCCTAGGCGCAGTGAGGCACGTAGCCTAGGCGCAGCGAGGCGCAACGAGGCTCTGAGGCGCGAGGCTCAGTCGAGGCACAATTGAGGCGCGATGTGGGCTTAAAACCTTGTAATTATTACTGTAGGGCCTTCTCTTCTATGCATACATGGTCTGCAAAAATGAACGATCATTTTCGTTATGTTGTTTCAAACAAATAAGATTTGTAATCGTTTTTTGTCCTTTCTTCACCTAAGTTTATTTATCTATCAGTATTTGATATTTTCTTTTCCGCTCATCAAAATTTGTGAGAGTCTAAAAATTAAGCAAACCTATAATAGGAATGCATTACGATTAACTGATGAAACTCGGAAAGAAAGGGTACTTCTATGTATTAGCATATATTAAAAAGAATGTTTAATTAACTTACTGATTAATAACTAAGTGAATGATATAAATCTATGATTTAAAAGTTTTGTGAGTATGTATACTTAAATTATTCGAATTTTACTAAAATAATTAAATTTATTTATTTTGAAATCTAATTTAATTATTCTGAAATTTACATTATACTAATTTAAATAATAATATTTCACAGAACACAAATTTTAATATTAAATTTCAAAATAAATTTATCCTATCTTATCTTCATTTTAATTTTTTTTTAAAAAAAAATTTTATTATTATTTGAATTTGATTTGTCTTTTAAGGCTCTAACTACACGTAAGAGTCTCATTTTATTATTATTTAAAACCCTCATTCTACTGTCAATCGGCCTTCTAATCCATACATACTAATCTATCGATCGTTCGCTTCTTCCTTTTCTTCGACTGGAGATTGCGACGTTGAACAAGAAAGTAGCAACAATTCGATTAATCGATTCACACATTCAATTCTTCTCGTAAGTGATTCTGTTCTTCGATTGATCTTTCGATTTATACTATTAACCATCTGTGTTGAAAGAATTTTGTTTTTCTGAATCAAATTCTCTTGATAATCACCACAATTCGTGCGTATGTGTTTGTTCTTGTTTTTTTTTTCCTTTTTAAGTATGCAGTTATTCGTTTGCGTATGTGTCTATTCTTGATAATCACAGTTTCTCTTATTTAATTTTCTGTTTTCATTTTTCTGGCTTCTGGGACAATATTACAGCTGTTAATCATCAATGTTTTGCTTTTGGAAAATCTGATTTGATATTATGACTTCTGAAAATCAGTCATCAACTTCTTCAAAGCAAGATATAGCTTGGAAGTATTGCATTAACATGGGCAAAGGTAAAGTTAAATGTATGTTTTGTGACAAAATTACTTCCGGAGGTATTTATAGGGCTAAACAACATATAGTGGGTGGATACCGGAATAGTAAAAGATGTCTAAAATGTCCAGCTCATGTACGCGAGGAGATTAGAGAATACATGAGAAAAAGTGTCAAAATAAAAAAGAAGCGGAAGTTTTATATGATTTTGATGATGTAGACAACTTTGGGGATGACGATGATGATGAAGTTGGTACATGTGTTCGCAAAAGTGGTAATAGTACTAGTAAAGCATCAAATAAGCAAAAGGGCATTAAATGACCAATTGATATGTTTTTCACCCCACCACCCGAACAAGTTGTGAAAAACAGAAAAGATGGGAAAATGAAGCAACCAAGCATCAATGAATCATGTAAAAAATAACTACGGGAGAAAGCATGTATGGAGTTGTCAAACTGGTTTTTTGATGCTGGATTGGCGTTTAATGCAACAAATTATGATAGTTTTAAAGTAGCAATGGAAGCGGTGGCGCAATGTGTGACGGGTTTCAAACCTCCTACGTACCACGAAATCCGAGTTCCTTTTTTAACTAAAGCGGTTAAGGCAACCGATGAGATGGTGAAACAAGTACATCACGAGCATTAGGCTAAATATGGTTGCTCAATCATGTCAGATGGATGGAGAGACTCGGTTGCACACAAAGACATTATCAACTTTTTAGTCAATTCTCTAAAAGGGTCGGTTTTTATCAAATCAATTGATGCTTCGGACATTGTGAAGAATACCGAACAATTGTTTATTATGCTTGATGATATGGTTGAGGAGGTTGGTGAGAAGAATGTCGTTCAGGTGGTAACCGACAATGCTTCTGCATATGTAGCAGGTGATGAAACGTCCACATTAAATTATTATATTTGTATATATTTATATAATTATATAAGACTTGAAGTTTTATACTATTTTAATTTTTATATCTTTATAGGACGTTTATTGATGGCGAAACATCCACATTTATACTGGACTCCATGTGCTGCTCATTGTCTTGATTTGATGCTTGAAGACATAGGAAAGATTTCGAAAGTTCGTGTCACGTTGAAGAGAGCAATGGCCTTAAACGGGTTTATATATAGCCGTACAGGTGTTGTAAACATGATGAGGAAGTTTACCGAGAAAAGAGAGTTGGTGAGACCCGCGATAACCAGATTTGCCATTGCTTACATCACTCTTCGTTCAATACAAGTTCAAAAGGCAAACCTTAGAAAGATGTTTACTTCTGATGAATGGAGGAAGAGTAAATACTCAAAAGAGTATGGCGGTAAAAGAGTCGCATCCATTGTTTTGATGCCTACCTTTTGGAGTACAATTGTGTATATCCTTAAGATGACGGGTCCTCTCGTAAAAGTGCTTAGGTTAGTTGATGGTGAAAAAAGGCCGGCCATGGGCTATGTATATGAAGCCATGGATAGGGCAAAAGAAGCAATTGCAAACTCCTTTAATAATGTGGAGGACAAGTACAAAGATGTGTTTGCAATTATTGACAAAAGGTGGGAATGTCAACTCCATCAACCATTACACGCGGCCGGGTGTTATTTGAATCCTCAGTTATTCTACTCAAATCCCCAAATTCAAGAGGATAAGGAGGTGATGATCGGGTTGTTTAAATGCATTGAGAGATTAGTGCCGAGTGTTGTTGATCAAGGTTAGAGGACCAATTGTCACTTTATAGGAACGCCGAAGGTATATTTGGGATGACAATATGCATACGTCAAAGAGAAGCAAAGTCATCAGGTTACTTTCTTTATACATATATAAAATAATATAAATCAAATTTAATTTTTGCTTGTTCTAAAACTTGTTCTAAAATATATGTTTACAGCCGAGTGGTGGGCTTCTTTTGGCAATGATGCACCGGAATTAAAAAGTTTGCCATCAAAGTCCTCAGCCTTACGTGTAGTGCAAGTGGTTGTGAACGAAATTGGAGTATTTTTAGCCTCGTAAGTAACTCAGATATCATTTAAGAAACATCATAAGTAATGTTTTTGACTCTTGATTATTCTGTTATAATTTGGCAGCTTCATAACAAAAGAAGAAACCGACTTGCGCAAACTCAACTCAATAATTTAGTCTATGTGAAATATATAATCGAGCGTTAAAGCGGCGTTATAATCATCATGATGTCATTGATCCAATCTCTTTGGATGACATTGATGAAAGTAACGAATGGTTGTTGGTAGAATGGATGATGATGATGAAGAAAATGAAGATTATGTGTTTGATGATGACGATTTGACATGGAAGGATGTTGGTATAGCTTCCGGAGCTTATGAGTGTGACCATAATACTAGAAGAAAGACGTTGCTAGTTCAAGCTCGAAAGGAAAGGAAAAAGCTAGACCACACCTTGTAGATGAAGATGATGAAGATGATGAAGTTGTTATGATAGAGTGACACTGAAGAAAGACATTGGGGATTTTGAGACGGATGAGGAGAAGATGACATAACACTTGACGATGATGATGAGGATTAGTTTGATGTTTGATGATGATTATCAGTGACTTTATTTGATGTTTTGTTTTTGCATGTTGAATGTTTTTGTTAAACTTAGTACTTGATTATGCTTGTTGCTAATTTTTATGACGTTAGGTTGGTATTTTGAATTTGAGAATAAACTCTATTGAAGCCTAATATTGGGTATCTATGATATTTGAGTTTGATTGCATTAATATATACATGTGTTATAATTTTTTGGATATCATGCGACTCGCCTTCGTGAATTCCGCGCCTTTCATGTACCTCGCGCCTTTCATGCGCCTCGCGCCTCAAGGCTCCAAGACACTTTGCGCCTCGATGTGCCTTGAGCCTTTAATAACTTTGAACCCTAGAAGTTAACTTATTGAAAAAGGGGGACCGGAGTAATATAATCAAGATCTATTTACGGTACTAATACGTAGATAAATGATACACAATTAGTTACTGAAAAATTGAAGCAAAAGAAAAAGGATAAATTAATCAAATATTG